AATAGTCTGATTTTATTGCTTTTTGAAGTGCTATATATAGCTAAATTATATAATTATATAATAACTTTTTAATATTATTATTCTTATTGTTACTATTTTAGGCGCAAGAACTAAGAGTATATTTTAAAAGTCTTGGTGCCGAAATCAGCGAAGAAAAGTCTCCTAAAGGTATAGAAGATGATTTGCATAAGATTATTGGAGTATGTGAGGCATGTTTCAAAGAAGGAAATGAAAGCGAAATAGAAACTGTATTGAATGACATTGTATCTATCATGATTCTGGCAAGTTTAACAAGTTTTGATAATTTTTTATTATAGATAATTAAATATTAATTTCTCTTTTTATTTTTATCGATATTCTATTTTAGATACCTACGGAACGCGCTGAAAATTTAATTTTAGCATTCTGTGAGAAACTCGTAAAAGCACCTGGATATAAGCTTGGATTGGTTTGCTTAAAAGCGTAATACATTGTTAATTTTTATAAAATTCATATATGTAAATTTATATATGTAAACATTATTTAATATAACAAATCATATTTAAATTAATTAAGAGAAGTAATAGTATTTTGATTACAAAGCAGATTTTAGTGTTTAATAATATTAATATGCAAACTTTTGCAAGTACATTTTCTCAAATGATATATGTTTGCAGTTTGTGGCTCTTATTCCAATCTCTTGCTGATGATTCTCCAATGAGATACCATGTTTATTACCACTTGGTACAAATAGCCCGCAATGTTGATCAAGTAAAAGCTGTGTATAGTGGAATAGATCAATTAAAGCAACAATTTGCCTCCTTTCCTCCATCGAATGAACAAATGCAAAAGTTATTGCGTTTGTTGCATGAAGTTCTTTTAAGTTGCAAACAAGGGTAATGTCTTGTGTTTTCTTCATCTACTTCTCTCCTTCTCTTTCTAACACACTCATTTATTTTCTATACAATATAGAAATAATTTCAAATATAAAATATATTTTACAAGGTATTTGTATAATTCTTTTTAGAGAACAAGCAGCAGCTGTTATGGTGGAATTATTGGGAACTTATACAGCAGAGAATGCTTCCGCGGCTAGAGAAGATGCACAGCGTTGTATATTAGCTGCGTTAGCAGATCCAAATACATTTTTGTTAGATCCGCTTTTGGCATTGAAACCTGTGAGATTTTTAGAAGGCGAATTAATACATGATTTACTTCTTGTATTTGTACAAGATAAATTACCAGCTTATTTACATTTCTATCAACATCATAGAGAATTTGTAGAGCATCAACTTGGTATATATATATATATATATATCTAGTCCATAATGTAGATAAAGTTTGTAAAGTTTGAATTTATTTCAATAAAATAAAATTTATAATGTACTTTTTTTTGTAGGATTAAATCATGAACAAAACATGAAAAAGATGAGGCTATTAACCTTTATGCAACTTGCAGAGACAAATCCAGAAATGTCTTTTGATACAATACAAGAGGAATTGCAGATTGAAGAATCTGAAGTAGAAAGCTTCATAATTGATGGTAAGCCATTTTTACTCTTAAAATTTTATTTACAATAAATAACATTTAACATCCTGTTTAAATAACATAGTTTTGCACTATTGCTTATTTAAGTGCCAACTGATTTTTGACAGGATATATTAAATGAATCTGTACTGACTTAGTAAATTATATTTTCATTGAGTTATCGAAGCGTTCAACAAATTTAAGAAACAAACTTTTAAGAAAAATACAAAATGTCATGATCATGTAATAATATTCTCACAAAATGTAAATAATGTTATTCCAGTTCTAAAAACCAAACTTGTAAGAGCGCGTATGGATCAGGCTGGCCGTAAAGTATTAATTTCAAGCACAATGCATAGAACGTTTGGTCGTCCGCAATGGATGCAACTGCGAGATTTACTTATATCATGGAAAGCTAATCTTTCGGCCGTACAGGATGGCATGAAAACTGTAGCTGTTGCTCAAATGGAGCTTGCAGCAAAGAATAAAGCTACTCTTGCTCACTGACAATACTGAAAAATTCCATAAATATACATAATTATAAGAATACCACAAGATTATAATTTTTTTTCCAGAAAATAACAGAGGTTCATTAAATCTAGCTATAAAAACAATGCAGCTAAAAATTAATCATATTACAATATTATATTACAATATATTTATATAACACAAAACTGTTAAATAGAAAATTTTTTATAATTTTTATAATTTTAAACATATATTTACATATTTAATATAGCTATATTCGCGTTAATCTCTTTTTTAATGTTAAATTATTTCCATAAAATAATTTAAATTTGTCATAATATATAAAGTATATTGAAAATTAATTCAAGACGATTAATTAATTTTGTTATTTGCGCGCATTTGTGTCATATTATTAGGTGTGGGGAAAAAGTTCGTGGCGTTTTTCCCATTAGATGGCATTAAAAAAATGTATATTTAAATTAGGTATGCACACTATATGTGTGTTAGGCATGTAAATATAAGAGGTCTGTTCCAAAAATATCCAATCTCTGTCTATATAATGAGAAACAATTATTCTGGATATGAACAATGTCGCCTTCAAAATAATCTTCTTTCGAAGTAATCCTTTCAGCGGTCCACTTCTAAAAGCAGTCCTGGAAATCACTTTCTGTGTGTGATAACCAACAGCTCCTCACTGTGTCACGCAATCGTTTCAGAACTTCCAAGTAATAATATTCTTTGTTTATTGTACGACCTTATGGAGCATATTTGTGATGTACAATACCTTCCTGGTCAAAGAAAACAGTAAGCATTGCCTTCACGTTGCTCGCAACTGTAGCACGCTTTCTTGGATCGAGACTCTTCTCGTTATCCATTGTCAATAAAGTCATTGCTATAAACTTTATGGATCATGCCGATTATCTCGAAACATGTGTGGCCAAATTTTTGCAATAAAATTTAATGCAATTTTCTACTCGACTCGCTCAGAGTTTTCGAAACTCGCACAATTGCGTATCGTTGCTACTTGAATAGCTGTTGGGTTATACCACTTGGGGAATACTCCTCAAGGTATCCTCTTTGAATATCAAATGCCTGTTTTTCACAGAGGATGCCCAAAGACAAATATACGCAAAGGTTGGATACTTTTAGGACAGTTATGCATACATGTCTTGAAAAACCACACACACACACACGCGCGCGCGCGCGCGCGCGCGCACACGTGCATCAATTAACATAATATATATTTCACAATAAAAATAATAATGTACTATACAGTAAACTGGATGAAAAATACATTCTTAATTCTATAAAATAACATTTTTACAGGTATTTCATGATAATTCTACTTGAATAATCAATAATGTTTGAACATGATAAAATGAACTTCATTTTTTAGGAGTAAAATATAATTATATTATGTTAAAATTATATTATATAAAAATTTTATTTTTTTCTTGAATAATTCTAACTGCATTTTAATTATGCAATCGATATATGTATTAAAAATATTAATTGCAGATATCAGCTATTTGATAATAAAATACGCAGCATTATGAGAAGCATTTGATCTGTTTTAGATCTTAATCTCTATGTAAAAAATTATGATTTATAATTAATTTTTCTTATTACATTGACATTTTTGCGCTGTTTTTCTATCACATTAATTTTATATAATCTTAAAGCATTTTTATACTTAAACATAGTTGACATTATTTCTGTACTTTTCAATAGTATTTTAATTTTCAATAAAACGGGATAAAAAAATTAATATTGTAAAACATTCGTACGTACATGCGTATGTCATACATTGGTTGCGTTCAACAGAAAAAGCAACTGTTGTAAAATTCTTTAATATTGATCTTGCTCTTAATTCTTCACTGGATCTAAATGTATAAGGCCCGATTGCACCAATATTACTTTGATTTTAAGCGAGGCTTAAAACTCTGTCTCTCTGTCTCTTTTTCAGCTTTAAAACGAGACGAATAGAGTTTTAAGTTTCGCTTAAAGTCAAACTAAGTCAAGATAGTTGGTACAACCGGGCCTAAACTAATTTAAGAATTTTACAACAGTTGCAAAGCTGCTTTTTTTGCTGAACGCAGCCATTGTATAAGTACCAATAATGCCAAAAACCACACAATGTAGTTATTTACTACTATTACTATGCTGCTATTTATATTAATCTATTTATATTAAATTAATCTTTTTAAAAAATTCAATTTGTTGTTTACAACAACTTATTTACAACGTATACGTGAATAAAATAATGCTGAAATAAATTATAAAGTTATAAATTGTATGTACTATACAATTGGTACAACTCCAAATTTTATGTATTTAAATCAAATATTTAATGTACATTTTTTTGTTTATTGATCTTTAAATCTAATCTACTATATGCTCTTTCTATTCTGTTTCTTTTATCCTCTTTGCGACCGTTTCATCAATAATCGTATTTCTTGTCAGATATTTCTTATTTCTATCTCTTCTCTCTTCCCTCCCCCCTTCTCCCTTCTTCGTTTTTGAAATCATAAATTCTTATCTCGGGCTACCAAAAAAATGAAAAAACAAGACAAAAAAGTGAGAAGTAAAAAGTGATAAAATGTTCCATAAAACAGAAAGCAAAGAGCACATTTTAGATTTAACCTAGAAGGCGAATCGAAGATCTACCTTTAAAATCTTACAGCTTTTCCTTAAGTAAGATTTATTATAATTCATTGTACACTTCTTGCCTCAAAATATGACACTTTCAACATCACTACAGTAATTTCCCATCCTAAGTAAAGGTGAAACAATCATTTTCATAACATCTCTGTAAGCACCGCATTCAGTTTAGCATATAAAGTTTTATCTTTTTTAAATATGTTTTACATTAGTTAATAAATCTAGAATATCTAAAACTTAAGTTAAGAGGCATCTTTTCTATAAAATATGCAGGACATTTTCTGTACTTCTGTGTAAAACCGGTCATATTTATTCCAAGTATACATAAACCTCTTGTAACTTTTGTATAAAAGACAAATGATGGATGATTGAGATTATGATATATTTTTTTTCAAAAAATTTTGTATCAAAAAATTAAGAAACTATGACTGAATTTTTCTTATCATACTTGATAAATCAGATCTGAGTAGAAAATCTGGGACGTGGTAAATCTCCAAATACTGTATCAGTATTGACGCTTTTAGCTAAGGCTTTCATTGAAGCTCGAATGTTGAGTGGATCAGTTGGCAACTGTAATTATATATATAGATTTTTTTTTTAAGAGAGTAAACTTCAATCAAATATAAGCATTAAAAGATTCAGAAATGTAATACAATATATTGCAAAAATTAAAAATCATGTAAAATTTTACCTGATCATCATCTTGATCCTGTATTGTATGATGAACGATAGAAGGGAAAACAGGCACAATGACAGGTAATGATTTAGCTAACGTAGAATGACCATCCCGTTGACTTCTTGGCATATGAATCTCCTCGTTTTGGCTTGAATCTAAATATGTTAATTATTACAAACTTGGTCCTAAACAAAACACAAGGATATTAATGATAAATTAATACGTCATACCATCGGTATCAGATCCATCAGTGTTTTCCGAAGAAGATAGAAGCTGTTGGGTGGCTGTGTCTGTATCCTCCATTCCTTCAAAAGGAAACAATACTTCTGTATCGAAGCTAGTTGATTCCTTGGTACTAATATACATTGTATCCCTTTTTTTCGAATTTTCATTCTGCAAAGTTTATTATCCAAATTTAATAATAATTAAAATTATAATTATAAAACTTTTGATCTGTATATCAAGTAATAATTGAAAAAATTTTGATAAATGACTTACATTAATGCTACTTTTAGAGGAGTGTCTGGTAGTTGTTTCGTGTTTAACGTTTGGGCTACTAGATATTTTTGTATCACTGAATATTATATTAGACTTTGGATTCACTGTACTAGCTGCAGAGGTAGTCATGATACTTTTAAAACCGTCAGGAGTTGTTGGTGGAGTTTCTATATTATTGGTAACTCTACTTGTCTCGTCACCTCTACATACTAGTCTAATTATAAAAAAAAAACAAGTTATGATTATTATTATTATATAATATAGCAATATACACATACTTGTAAAATTACTTTGATAACAGCCTATGTTCATTGTGTGCTCTTTCGCGAAATTGTTCCAACAATTGATGCTGCTCATCAGTAAACACACGTATTTTATCTTCTATAGTTATTGTTTGACGTTGTACAGCCTCCTGTAACTGTTGTTGTAATCCATCTAGGGCCACTTGAATCGCGTTAGGTAATTGTGAAACTAGATAAATAAAACGTAACGTACGCTAAGATAATATATGGATACATAATATGCAGATATAAATGAATTATTATAAAATCCGACAAAATTAAATACATGTTGAACACACACATATATACACATTGACTTACCAGAAAATTTAGGCTGTTGCAGATAATCATCGAGATCTTCCAAACTATGATTAATTACTACCCTAAATATTGGGCTATAATCTGGATTGGATTTTAATTTATTTATTTCTTCGGGAGATAACTGTAACAATATAATTATCTTTCAAACAAGTTTATTCAGAAGTTAACACGTCCATAAAAATAAATAATATATCTCTGATAAGTATTATTTTTGTAATTTATATAAACAACAAATGTGTATCTGCAATTAATCATATGCAGAGACAATCGTTCTTGATAAAATCAATTGCTTATCATAGACTATGCTTAGATTCCTATCTGAATACCACCCAGATATCACATCATTTTTGTTTATCCAATGTTAAACAAGGATGGCATGATGCCTAGGCCCAGTTTCAAACTTACAACTTGTTTCTCATCTCTTTCCAATTCTAGGGAGTTGGAAAGAAATAATGAATAAGTTGAACCTCAGTTAAGAGTTAACGTGAATTGTGAAACTGGTCCCTAGAGAGAATCTGGATGAGAATTCGAACACGCTCTTAAATAAAGAATGATTCATAATAAATTATTTTTCGTAAGTTACACTAAAATTAAATAAATGACAAACGTTTTGGAAAAGCAACAAGAATGTAGATAGAGTCAGTCAAGTAAACATGGCACTTCTCTGACCAAAGATTCTTAGTTTTTTAAACAAGTTTGTTTAAACTTGTTCTTCTTTTTTTAAAAAATTCACTACAAGACGGTAACAATAATCTGAATGGCATTTAATCTTGAACAGGAAAGGTGGCAACCATAGTAAAACAGATTATTTATATGGCAAACACAAACAGATTATTTCGATCAAGACTATCGTCTTTTGGAATATTAATTTAATATCTCTCTCTTATCTCTCAATATGTTTTTGTCTAAATTTTGTCTAAAACTTACAAGAATATTGTTATTAATGAGGACTAAAGCAGCACCGTATTCTCTGTGAACTGCGTGAGTATACATTGAGCAATTACAACAACGGTGTACAATCCAGGATCCAACATTTCTTTTTTCCATTAAACCAGGTTGTTCTTTAGTAATTTTTTCCAATTCTGATACACTCGCCAAATCCTGTCAAAAATAAAATCAATAAAATCATTGTTACGTCATTAATAATTAAATCGTTCTATATTTTAATTACAATTTTATATATATCTATATAAGTAATTGATTATGAGATTTTGATTGATTATGAGCTTTTATGCAGATATTATTTCTTTTTAATGCTAAAAGAATTTAATATTTAAACAGAAACGTCATGTCGATCAATGTTCACTAATTTCATGTGAATACTAGAAAAAATATTTTATATAAAATCAAAGAAGATATACAAAAGATAGAAGATGAACCAGCTTGAACAAAAGGTTAACATAATACGACAGAGTCCCAAAGAATAAGATTATTGTTGTGCTGCAAAAAAAAAACATGGAATTGATACGATCGCAATTGAGTTACATGTTTAACATTGATATGTCAAACTGAGATCTATTTATGAAAATTGAAGCATGAGAAAACATATATTTTTTCATTCTACTACACGTCTCTATATTAAATTCTAAATTTATATCAGTAAAGGAGTGAAGATAAAACTCTAATTAAATTCAAACCGAAATTCAAATCGATTTTAACTTTGCAATGAAACAGGTGAGAAGTGAAAGGAGGAGGGGATGAAATGGAACACTTTTTTTTTAATTATTTGTTTTTAGATCATGGATTTTTCGAAAAAGAGAAAGGCAACGAATGAAAAAAAGTTTTTATTTACCTCTCGAAAAAAGGCATCAGCACGCTCCAAATCAGTCAACTCAACGTTAACCTGCTGCAATTCGGTGCTCCTAGATTTGATGGATACATTCAGGCACTTGCAGGTGACGTGCATCTTTCAATTATCGACAAACGATTATCGGCAAACGCGAAGTCTAGGCTTTTGGGTGATCAGAGAACACAGCGTTCCTTTCTTTTTTTTTCGGAGAGGTCGAAGATGCGTCGAGATGCACGATCCAGCATGAACACGCACCACTGTGTATTTGATTGCAGCCTGCAGCCTGCAGGTGTAGTTTGATTTGATTCAGCTGCTCTCTCTCTCTCTCTCTCTCTCTCTCTCTCTCTCGATTGTCCAGTACAGAACTCTCAATTGCTCTCAATCAAACGGGTATCCGCGAGACATCGTCTATCAACGAAGAGGCATCAAGAACCGATATATATCGTCAGAGAGAAATTAAGGTTTCTCTCCGATATCGATCAGATATAGCTTAATTTGATGAAGCAACTATCTCTCTCGACTTGGTAAACCGACTGTTCAATGTCGTTCTGCCGAAAGACATGCACCAACCAAGAATGAGAAAATAAGTGGCGCAACGCGCGAACTACTATACTGTACATATACTATCGTCACACGAGTATTCGTTTTGAAGAACATTTTGATCAATATATATAAAAATGAGAGAGAAAAGCCTGAATTTCTTATAATTTTAAGTGTTTTCCAAGAGACTCAGTGTAACGAGTGTAACATTTATTTATATATTTTTGTTTGCCCATGTTATATTATACCGAAATGATTAATGATCGCTATGTTACACTGTGACTAGAATCGCTGGAAGGCATCATTTAAATATATGTTGAAACAATCAAAAACAATGAATGAATGAACGAACCGAGCAGTTTGCAATTATGACGTTTGTTAAAAGAAGAAGAATTTAATCAGGCTCAACAATGCTTCTTTTTTCGATTACGATTTACCACATTTTCAGTCAATGTTTACATCCAACTTCCAAGAGTGAAGACAGCGTGAGCACGCTAGTATAAATGCATCTTGGCCCTTGGCCGATTCCAAAATTATCGATATATCGAGATTCACACATAGAAATATGTGTGCTTAATGTTATGAATAAACGATAATGAAATCGAATGTGTATTTTGAAAGCAGATGAAAATTACAAGTGAGCAAATTTTCTAGATATTAATCAATAAAATTATAAATATTCCAATAAATTCGCTCACTTTTGTCATCTTCTCTTACTTCGTTACAAGAAATACAATCCCAAAGCGATTGATTCACAAATTTCAGTATATTATACATATATTAGGTGTGCGTTCTGCTATTCATTGCGAATGCGAATACTGAAAATCTAGTCACGAACTAGAGAGTTTCAGTACTCATAATAACAAAACACAGCATAGAAGTGAATTGATTCACGATATCATGATTCATTGAATACATTGGTATCTCATAATTCACAATACAATATACAAATCTTCCTAAAAACACTAAAAAAAGCTCAATGATATTAATCGCTGATAACACGATTGACGATAATCAATAAAAGTTAAGTCTTTTTCCCTGAAATCGATTATTTTTATTGAACTATTGTTATTTGTATTATACTGGAAATTGTCATTGAGAGCTCGTAATTATTGAAAATTTAAACTAATTACACAAACTTAATTCTTCGAGCATTTTTATTTTATAGATTCCATATATATTTAACAAAGAAAGAAAACTTAAAGTTAATTAAACTTGTTAATTAACATTGTTTCATAGTTGTTCTATTATACTCTAAATATAAAAATCTGTATCTATCTATACAATATTGTATACTACCAGCACCAATAAAATAGTGATCATATTTGGTCACAACTATTAATATATATATAATGTCACTTGTATATATAAATATTACAATATATCATATATATCAATAGTCAATAAAAAATTATATATACACATACATGTACAATTGCTAAGATGTACATTCGAGACAAAATACTTCAATTGGAATAAATACATAAAAAAATACCATACAAGTTTTATATATGCCATTTTTTTCATTCATCAAATTCTGTTTTCATCTTAAAAATTTCTTCCTTCCATTTAAAATATTCGTTGAAACGTATTGCAGCATATCTGAAAAAAAAAATTTTTTAATTCACTGTAATAATTATTTGATCAAAGTATTTCATTTTTATCCTAAAATTTTACTAGTCTATTATACAAATAACTCTATTATACAAGAAAATAATCGATTGTCGAATTATTATTGCCGTTATTTTTATTAGTGTGCGTATATGTATAAGCGATAGTAGTAGATAGTAAACAGTTTCATATATATTAGGTGTAGTAAAAAGAAATCCATTATTTTTGCATGAAATTGAATGGAAAAATAATGGATTTCTTTTTACTACACCTAATGTATTGTATATAGAGGAAAGTCCCTATTATGAGATAGGCGCTTAATATGAGATAGTGGCGTTCTGCTAAACTAATAAACTATTTAGTAGAAAATTCTTTATTAGATCATGCCTGTAGTCATTGTAAAACAAGATTTTAGAATTTGGATATCTTCAAATTTCATTTTAAGATGAGTCTTTAAACCTTATTTATTATTTAATAAATAAATATTTGGCAATAAATTCTTCGTGTAGTGATAGAGTGGATTCCACCAAGAGTGGATTCCAATCATCTGAAGACGAGTTCTGGGTATAATCTATCGCATGCTTATTTTTCGCGCACGTTGGCTGTGTTTGTATTTTAGAAATATTAAATAAAGTTTTTTAATTGCAATACTGATATACTTTGTGTTTTACTATCGATTTCTCGGGGCATTTCATATTAGGAGCACAATCTTTTGATTTTGCGATTTGTTCACTTTTTACATCTTTAATTTTCAAAAAAAAAAAAAAAACATGGAATTTGAATTAAATTTTATATAACGTTATCTTAAAGCTTATTCCTTCAAAACATTCTCTTCAAAATGACCTATTATTTTTTAAAAATTCTGCCTATGGATTTCTAACATTTATCCAAAATGAATAAACTTGGTATCTCATAATAGAGGCCTTTCCTCTATATAAATATAAATAGTATGTATTTCTATCTTTCTATCATATCAGATATATTTGATATATCATTTATAAATATGTTTTATTGATAAATAAAAGCACTTACTCTAAAAAATCAAAATCAATATGCGAATGCTCGCTCTGGATGAGAGCCCAACAGCCCCAAAAAAAATGCGGCAAAGGAGTAAATTTAGTAACTTGCCAGTATAATTTGTCAACGTCTTTTTCGGACACATTAGTCGTCGCGTTGTATATTCGTAAATATTTTTTTAACCACTTTTTTTGAAAATTTTCATCCGGATATAAAGAATAATCCGGTTCGTCAAAACCTTAAATGTACAGATATTTAAAATTTTATTCAATATACTTTATGATATACTTTGTTGTTCTGTAATACATTTTATGTACAAAGGTATGTTTTCTAATACATTTGTAAAAAGATTGAAGTATGTGTAATTACCGGCATATTCTGTAAAGTGATTAACTATATCGAACGCCTGATAGTTGAACGCAGTGTATTCATAATCGATAAAAACGACATTCTCCTGTTTTTGATTGTACAATATATTTCCTAGTAGAAGATCATTATGAGCAAATACTACAGGACTATTCACTTTGGAAAGTGTATTTTTCAATAGCTGATATTCTTTCTCCAATATTGCATAGGATGGTATCAACATTTCAAACCTTAAAGTAGAAACTATTACAACAACTGAATCATTGAATATGTTTTATATGATGTTCAAAGAAAAAAATTATTTATAAGCGCTTACTTTGTTTGCTTAAGAGAATCCGAAAATCTTTTGGGTATAATTTGCATAAATTTCTTTAATTTTCCCCAAATAAAAGCATCTTTTGATATAGATTCATTTTCAAATTCAAGATTATGCATTTCAGCCATACGTTTCGCAATTAATGGATATACTTTTGGATTTTTGACTGTTTCAATAGTCAGAGTTTCACCTTCCAAGAATTCATAAGCAAATCCATTGTTAAATGTAGCATAAATGCAATGAGTATAGCCAGCCTTATTCAATATCTATGCACAAATATTTATTCTATACGTTAGTTATATTGTTTACACATTAAAATTTAAATTTGTTATATTTTTCTTTGTATAATACTTATATATAGGTATATGTGCAGGTTAATAAAAAAAAATTAATGCATATAAATTACAACAATTTAATTATAAACTGAAATATGGAAAAACAAAATAACGCTGTGTATAATAACTTTGATCAAATCTTTACCCGGATATTTTGTATTTCGCTTTTTCGGTCGATCAGTAAATCCGAATTATTGCCATAAATTCTAACCAGGATCATATCTGTACAATGTCCCGTGTACCATATTCCTATCAACTTATTTGTTCTTCCATCAGTAAATATCTGAAATAAAAGAAAAAAAGATATTCTTTTTCCTAGTTATTTCGATTTGATTTACATATCATCAGTAATAGTAAAGATTGTTATCTGAAAACTCTTATGTCAATGTTTAAAATCATGCGGGTGCAAGAAAAGGCTAAAAAGCTAAGTGTGGGAAAAAGTTCGTGGCATTTTTCCCATTAGATAACATTAAAAAACGCCGCGAATTTTTACCTAATATTAATATTGAATTTTCTTATTATTTAATTATGAAAACAAAATTGATAAAACTCTGCATTTATGAAGGAATAAATAAATCGGACATAAGGAAATACAAATTTCAACCTGCCTTAAAATTTCAATTCTATGACAAGAATTGAAATTGTATTGCATGTCAGGTAAAAAAAGATTACCAGTAAAAATAAAATATAATATATTGATACAAAAAGGACACTATAAATATAACGATTTATTACTTAAAAGCAAGAGACATAAGAGACAATTTAATTTTGAATTCAATATTGTTATCCTTGTTCAGCTCTTTTTCTATTACTTCTTATAAAAGAATACCAAAAATTACCTTGAAATGCAATTGTTGCAAAGGCCAAGTTGGTCTAATCTTCTTTATAATATCTTTAGCACCAACAATAATGTCATTCTCATCTATTGTAATGTTGAGATGTTCCTCACATACACTCATAGCTTAATGCTATTTTGTGGAATGATAAAAGTTCTTTACTTAATTATTATTTTAATAATAGAGTGCAGATAACATAGATATAATTTAAAGACTCGAGGAATATATATTCTATTTGTAATGCATTAATTAGATATCATACAACGTGGATCTATTGGCTATAATTTCACTATGAATGAACAAAATATTTAACTAAAAAATTTGTATGTACAAAAATATAAAAACATTCAGTCCTTACAAATATTTCATGGCAACTAAAAGAGATCTGGTACAAGTATATCTCTATATATAT